GGGGCGCTGGCGCAGTGGAACGTTTCGGTACCCACCTGTGTGGGTAGGTATCTTCGGGTTTTGGGGCAGAAAAGGCCAAACAGTTCAGCAGTTTGTGGTAGGAAAATAAATTCCATCCTTTGGGATGGTTAAAAACACCCCACGACATAAAAACCCCAATCCACCAATGAAACAAAAAAAACCCCCAATCCACCAGTGAAACAAAAAAAACCGCCAAACCACCAACGAAACAAAATCAGCCCAAAACACCAACGAAGCAAAAAAAATTCCATTTCTTACCTCTTAGACAGAAAAGCCAGGCCTGCCTTTGAAAAGGGGCGGTTAACCCCAAATGTTGGGGACGGGACATGTTGATGCAGAGCTCAGCTGTGGGAGCTGGGACAGCAGCTGGAATAAATCAGGTCTGTCTGAAAGCTGCTTTTGCTGCCTTTGGAGGAGAGCAGTTCCTCAGGAACCAGTCTCCTGGGCCGACGTACCTGGTGTTCTCCACGCCAAAGGGCTGTGGGCTGTTTGAGGTAGAAGATACGGGAGAGATTTGCTGAAAAGAGGATTATTCATACAAATCCTATCGTTAAATTGTGAGCCAGTTCTGCTTGCTTTCTTGGCCATGAGCAGATGTTTTAAAGAGCATGTGTTAGTATAAAGCCAAGTCCTTCCGTGCTCAGGCGTTGCTTTGCTTATTGCAGTGCCGTGCGGTGGGAACCTGACTGAGCGCAAAGGTACCATCCTGTCGCCTGGCTTCCCGGAGCCGTACCTGAATAGCCTCAACTGCGTGTGGAAGATCACCGTCCCCGAAGGAGCGGGGATACAGGTACAGTGGCAGCGACGGTTGCGGCGGCGTGGTCTAGAGAGGAGAAGGCGCCGTGTCTGGTGTGCTTAAAGAGGCCACGTGTTCTGAAGCTGCTGCTCCTCGTGAGAGAGTGATGGGCTGAATGTGTATTTCTGTGGAATCAGACATTCGTTTACACTGTGGCTGCCAAAAGCGGGTAATATTTCAATGGATTTTTGCCTCCTGGAGGAACTCTCCGTGGGAAATCAACTGGAGCCGTGTGGCTGTTCTGGTGTAACAAAATAATTGTGGTATTTTGGGCATATATCTTTATGCTGCTTAATTATGCCGTGTTGAAAGCAGTGTAAGCTACACCAAGGAGGAGCTGCTTGCTCGGAGTGCCTGCGTGGATTTATTATGCCAACAGAGTTGCGGCAGTGTGATTATACAGTCGCTGCTTCGCTCCTCGTTGTCTCCAGGTAAAGGAGCGCTCTCTCCAGGTCTTTTTCTGCAGAGGAGCGATAAGGACCGCAAAGAGTCCTGCGAGCTAGAGGGTGTTGAGAATTAAGCCCAACATCAGAGACCAAAGCTTAGATAGAGTTCCCATTCGGCACATGCATGCCTCGTCCTCACAGAAGGCGTCTCGCCGTGCGTTGCGCTGACATCGGTTGACGCGCAGGAGGTGGATTCCGTAACGGGTTCATTCATTCCACAGGCCTCGTTATCAGAGGGTTTCTTTCTTCTTCTTGGCACCGCTTCGTCTGCGAGGGTTTTGTTCATGAAGAGCCTTGATTTCTGTGTCGTGTGTCTGGCTGATAGACCTGTAGGTGGGTCCTTCTCTCTCGGCAGCGCTCACGGCTGCTGGCGCACAGCGGTTGCGTTGCTCTCAGCAGTTTGATGGAAACACGTGCTGGATTTCGGCTCTGCGCTCCCAGACGGGGATTCTCACCTGGTGCCGCCACCAGAACTCAAACCGAAGCCTGGATCTGGGTCTGGGATGGCAGAGCTGGTGGGAGCGGGACCGAGCGCTTCGCAGCAAAACAGCACAAGCAGGGGGTAATATTTTGAGCCCTCTTCCACGCTTTCACTGTGTCTGGCCCAGCAAATTCTGCTCTCCTCTTTGTTTCTGAAGTCATTTAAAATCACGTTTTCGGAAGCCTCCGAGCTCGCCATCAGTTCCTTCATGTTCGTCTGAATTTTCAGCCGTTGTGGAAACCCCCGAGTGGCAGGAGGATCCGTTTAGCTCAGCCGATTGCCTGAACAGCTCAGGCAGTTTGCAAGTTGCGCGGGACTCCTGGGATCGGGAGGTGATAATTCACTTAATTTTTAAAGCGATGTAAATAGCTGTCTGTGTTCTGCGCTGCCGTGCCCTGACTGCAAACCCTCGCTGGCCCTCCTCAGCCCGCCGAGCTGGCTGTGCGCGTCGGCCGAGCTCAGAGGAGAGCTGGTGCTGCAGTGGGCTGTTAAAAGCACGTCTTTATTCGTAAGGACGTGTTTCTCACCTCTTTGGTGGTGCAAACGCAGCTGTCGTGTAAAACTGGAAAATGTAATGCCAAAGTGTCTTAAAGGTTTTCTTTTTTTCCTTTTTATTTTCCCCCCTCCCTGCTGCGTATGAGCTCTTGCAAGAGAAAGAGATATTACAGGGTCTGACACAGAACGTGTGCAAACAAAAAAGCGTCTCCTGGGGCTGAGCTTTAACGCTGCCAGAGCCTGAAGTTCAGTTTCTGGGTCTAGAGTGGGAAGGTTCCGGTGAGGGGCAGGGCCGTGGTCCTTCAGCGTGACCCCGGGCTCTGGTGCTCGGTGCTGGGGTCTCCGCTCCCCGCTGTGCTGGGCTGCGTGG